ATTGAAAATATTTTATAAGCTTAAGGCGAAAAAAAGTTTTTTAAGAAGAAACAGTCAAAGTGTGTGCTCGTTCCAGAAATAATTTTTCTCTTTCTATTTCCAATAGAATAATTCAATAGCAATACTCGTTCTCATGGTACTAGTCAAGAAAAGGAATTCATTTTTGTACAAGATTTATGTTATTTATTAAAAACTCGTGTGTTTTTCCAAGAAGAAGAACGCACTTTTTTCGAAAAAAAGAACTTTCGTAATGGTTCATTCTTCCTTGTTTGACAAACTACTATCATCTGCTTATTAGCGGCCAGCAACTCGCTTCTTTAGCTTTGGTTTCTAGTATTTTCCTTGGTCGATCTCTTAATACGCTCCGGAGCATAGGGAGAGAAATGCACGTGTGAGTTTTTCTTATGAATACAAGGGTCATAGTTTTGTTTTCGTTACACAACCATGCAATTTATATACAAACTATGTCTCTTTATCATTTTGACTCTTTATTGATCGATTCAACCTTGGACCGTGTATGTTATATTACACAAACAAAGGAAAAAGCATATCACCTAATATGAGCGAGGTTTCTTTTTCTCATGTGATGTTCGAGAAAAGCCTCGAAATGACAGGACATGCAGAATGAATTGGTATACGATAAACTGCTACGAGTACGGAAATATAGTATAAATAGGAGACGAATCTTACAGTATTCTTATTATTCTTCATTATCGCCACATTTCCATTTCCATTTCCATTATCATCGTTCTATCATGTCGTCTTTAATAGTTATTTTGATTGTGTTGTTTTATTCTTTGTCTGGTTTAACTGGTTCAATTCATTCGGTTTGTCCATCAGTAGGTAGTGCTGCTTCATTTGCAGTGTTGGCTGGCAGCGGGGTAAGTAATGCTGGTATCTCATACGTTTTCGGCAACTTGGCTGTCTATCCCAGTATTGCTGTAACGGGTTTTAGTGTTACCGTTGGTATTGATGGTTATCTCAATGGGACACAGCAACTTGGCACTCCAACTGCATTAGAAGCAAAACTGAACGTAACAAATGCTTATAATAAGTGCATGGGCGCTCCAGTGAGCGTAGATTATAGTGGTACCGACTTGGGTGGCCTGACATTAACGAAGGGTGTTTATAAGTTTGGCGGTGCCGCAGCACTAACTGGCATTTTGACATTAAAAGGTAAAGGTGTATTTATATTTCAAATTGCTAGTGCCTTAACAATAAACGGAGGTAGCCAAATTATTTTAACACGGGGTGCCACTGCGGGATGTATATTCTGGCAGGTCGGCAGTAGTGCAACACTTGGTTTGAACAGTCAATTTTCCGGTATTATACTCGCCTATACATCAATCTCAGTCGCGACCGGTGTCCATGTGTCCGGATCCCTCTTTGCACAAAATGGGGCCGTTACACTCATCAGCGATATAATCCATGTACGACCCCGCTGTATGGCTTGTCATTAAAAAATAAAAGTCATCGTCATCTTGCTTCACTACAGTATCTATTCTACAATATCCGTTACTTTATTTTATTATTTACTTCAACATCATCAGTGCATATGAAGTGGTAAACGCCGAATTTAGGTATGTGGCTTGCTTAGCCGTATACTGAATCGCTTTTCACTCTCCTTTTTTATACTTTACTGGTTGTATATTACAAGTTTATAACCCGAAGTTTTATTTTTAATACGAATGCGTTTACAATGATCGTCTCAGCAATGTTATACAATATTAGCAAATTGGAAGTCATTTTACGATCATACAACAAGTTATCAATAAAAATATGCACATTAACTTTCAATAAACTTTCAAAGTAATTTTTATTATTTGTCTTTTTATAATATCGAATAAAATGTATAGTGAAAAATATCTACGTACCCCAAGAAATTTCGAAACTTCAAAATGTAAATATCTAACTGTCTAGATATTTCGAGCCAGGTGACCGTTTTTCCATGTGGAGAAAAAAAATGCACCTGCAAAAATGAAAATGTTAGAAGTCAATTCTCTTTTGCAAGAACATCAGGAAAATGACACTGAATTTGAACAACACATTTGAGCTACAGGAAAAAAAGGAGATAGAGTCTGTTTTTCCCTGGTTGATTTAAGGAGAAGCTAAATTCATATAAGAATAGTAATTTTACCCGTATAGTAAAACTGTTGTAGGGCTAAGACTTGTTCGACGTTGAGTTAGGATCAAGCCTACGGCGCCAAATGTACGTTCAAACACCGCATAGAATGCCGGAACAACTAAACCTCGTCTCACAAATAATAAAAGACGAGGTAAATCTGAGATATGTTCTTTGCAAAGCCGTAAGGCAATAACTACCATCTAACAAGAAGAGCGAGAGGAAAAAACGGAAAAGAGAAAAAAGGTAAGAAAAAACGAACATCTCCGGCTGGTTGATGCCCTAAGTTAATAAAAATCGACATCACACCTCTACTCTTCATAGATAAAAGAAGGGGAGACGTAATTGGTAGAAGAGACGACAGTAGATATCGACGTACGGAAATTATATGTTAATTATATCTCTATTTAGTATCGTATTTAATATTCGATCTTTTATCAAGTCAAATTTTATTGTTTATGTCAACCACGTCATCATTCTCTGGTTTTAAGTATGTTTTTCAGTTCAATATCTATGATTATTCTTGTTATTCGTCTTATATTAGTGCAGTGTTTCCCATGTCGTCCTTACCCGTGGCTACGTAATTACTAATTTGCCTTAGAATTTATAACGTTTGTTGCATTGTCTTTCACATTGTTTATGGATAATTCATATGAAAACTGCTTATATGAAATGATTACTTTTTTCAGTACGATCAGTAGTCATAATCATATGCACTATTTGTGAAGATATTAACTATTAGAAAGGGTGATATCATTAAGCACTCATCATAGAACTGCTTAACTAATCGTGTGTCGTCTTAAACGTTGAAGTCAGTATGAGTAAATAACTTACTTAAACTTACTCAGAAATAAACTTATTGTAACTTTATTATATTCTACTTGACAACTTTCAACCTTTTAAGAAACGTTAAGCATTTACTTTTAAGATTATGAAATATGAGTTTGTTTGCTTAACACCGCATCACAAAGAAAAGCAAAGCTATAAAAAAATGTTGCAAACGTTTGCGGCGGTTGAACGCCAGGATAAAAGGTTTTTATATGTGTATACTTTTTTATGTATGTACTTTTTTTCTCTTTTTTTTTGTATGTTTGTACTTTCACTAATCTATTTGTATTCATAGCGCTTTTTTGTACCAAAAAAAACCTT